TATTCCTGTTTTTTCTCATTGTAATGATCATAGACAAATGGTGACACACCAAATAGCTTCATATCACAGTTTGGTACATGATTCAGAATTTGAGGAACGAAGAAAGGGAAATGTAGGAGTATGTGAGTTTATTTCTCCCTCACTGTTCACTTTACATAAGCAAAGCCTCTCTCCGGTTGGACACAGCCAGCGACCCATAATCACTATCTTCCTTGACATAGCCAGCGACCCATAATCACTATCCTCCTTGACATAGCTAGTGACCCATAATCACTATGGGCATGTTTGGTTACATTGCCGATTCAGCCTGGCCCGGTGAGCCTGGCTCTATTGAGCCGGTTTGAGGGGATGCAGACCAAAAAAACCAGATGCACATAGTTTGGTTGCCTGCATGCCCCTAGTTGCATGAGACAGCCATTTTTGACCCGGCGTTTGGTTGCCCGCATTGCATTAGGTGCACATATGACATGGTGTTTGGTTGCAACCTGCATAAGGTGTTGTCACCACTTCTAACTAATGGTGACCTTACCACACACAATCTGAACATAGTGCCAGCTAGTTAAACAAATGACAGTTCATCTTAACTACAATCAAATGACAGTTCAAATTATTAAGAGACATTGGCTAAATAGGGATAGTTCATCAGTGTTGCTGCTTCATCTTCCTCTTCTGCTTCTGCTGCTTCCTCTTCTTCTGTGCTTCTGCTGCTGCTGCTTCTTCTTCCTCTTCTTCAAATCCTGCACTGACCTTTGTTAAGCCACATTGCCTCTGCCTACTCCAACCTTTTGTTCTTCCAAGCGTCATTGTCAAATGCATCCACACCATGGCCAGAGCTAACAACATCGTCAGGCTCGACCTCTTCCTCCTCAGGCACGTGTTCATCAAAGCCCCACTGGAAGATCCAGTTATGCAGAACGCGACAAGCAAGAACTAGCTTAACTTGAGTGGAGTATGGGTGGAATGGCTTCTGATCCAGGATCTTAAACCTATTCTTTAGAGCTCCAAATGCCCTCTCAACAGTTACTTTAAGACTGGAGTGTCTGAGATTAAATAGCTCCTGTGCAGTCCTAGAAAAGTTCATACCAGAGAACTCGCTGAGATGGTACCTTGTTTTCCTGAAGGGTCGAAGAATACTCGGCCGACATGCATAGCCAGCATCTCCAAGGTAGAACTTGCCGTCGGGGATGCTGATCCCATCAGGTCGAATCATGTTGTTAGTGAGAATGTTTGCATCATGCTTTGACCCCTCCCAGCCAGCCAGTACATAAGTGAACTTCAGATCAAAGTCAACAGCTACAAGCACATTCTGGCTTGTGTAGTGCTTCCTCCCCCTGTATGCTGCAGACTGTGACCTAGGAACTCTGGCAGTGACATGAGTACCATCTATTGCCCCAATGCTATCCTGAAAATGGCATCACTAGCATGTGTTAGTGCTGAACTTGAACAATACAAGCATATCAAGCCATGGAAAGTGTATATTGTCAATGCTCACCTTGAAGTATGGATACCATCTTGGGCTTCCGCGAATCTTGGGTGGAGTCTGGCCAGATGGTCTCCTGATCATCTTTCCTCTAAGCTCCCCAACAGCAAAAAGCACATGCTTGAAGTACCTAGAGATGGTCTCCATTGATCTCCTGAACGTGTTGTGAATGACCCTGAACCTCTGGTTATGGCCAACAACATGGAGGAACATGGCCACTTGCTCTTCGACACAAGTGTTGATGCTATCTTGTAACAGGTCCCTGCTCCTGAATGTCTCGACAAGCCTGGCAAATGGTGATCTTTTCATTCTAAGCATCCACAGAGCCTCGACGTCATTGCAGTTGTAGATGTAGTTCAGATTTTGGATCCTCTCCTGTTCCCGGGGAAACAATGGACCATAGCGGATCAAAAGTCTCCCAGCACGACGAACAGCTCTCTGGTGCATGAACATGACTCATGCCTGAATCACACTAATCAGTGCTGCTGCCTAGATTATCAGCCTCATTCCTGCGTCCATAACCTAGTCGACATCGATGGTTCGTTCAGTGAGAAATTGATCCTACACCTAGCTTAACGGCCTAACCACTGAGCTAACAAAGGGGGGAGGGGGTGCTGCTTACCGGCATCGGAGACGAGGACGGCGTAGGGGGAGCCATGGCACATACTAGGTCGACCAGACGGTGGCCAACAGCAAGGGGAGCACCAGATCCGCTGCAAACGCCGCCGCCTCTTCCGCCGCCGCCTAGCGCAGATCTGAAATCGCAGCCGTCGCCAGTGGTGAGGCAGTAGCGAAGAAAGGGGGGCAGTGGCTATGGGTGAGCGAGTGAAAGGGGGGTGAGGCTAATTTGGCGCCGGGACGGCGCGCCAGATTTCCATCTCCCGCCATCCCCCTCGCCCTCGCCTCGCTCCCGCCCGTGCGACCTCGCGACGCACTCAGCCTGGCTCGCGAGAAACTTCCGATCCGAAGGTTTCCAGCGAGCCAGGCTCTAGGCTGCTTTGAGAAGCGTGCGATGCAGGCCCAACAGAAAAACCAGCCAACCAAACAGGTCTCTCCCTTCCCGCGCGGGTCCGATTGGGCTCGATGCGGGCAACCAAACACGCCCTATCCTCCTTGGCCCCCCTTGTCATGGCCATTTTCTTTTGTCTTGGAGCACTTGGCAGTTCATTCACGACACTCATTTAATTATACAATATACCAAGTTGGTATTGCGTTAAACTATGTGATACAATATTAGTGTTGCATTGTAATGATGCAAAGGCTAGGAGTGATCCTTGAAAAAAAACACTACACAGTATTATGTTATGATACACAAGCATGTGGCCTGCCTCAATGCATCGAGACTTTGGGAGCGCTCGCGAGCCTCTAGCTACGAGGAGGTGGGTCCTGCCGCGCCGCCCGAGCTAACAGCGCCCTGCGTTGGGGCGACTACCGGCTTTGTTTACGTCGCTAATCTAGGATTAGTGTGTCTGATGTGGCGTGCTTTCGACCGCGAAATGGGTTTACCTCTTCCATGATATGTACGCCAAGCATGCTTGACTAGGTGCTTAAACAGCTAGCTCCTTTGCCTGTGTGTGTAGGATATTTTAGTTTACCGTATCGTGGTTGTTTCAGCATGGCTAAGGATGATTCATTGTTAAAAGCTAGATGATGTGATGTGTAGTATGTGTTATTGTGAGGATCGTATTAAAACAAACACCAAAATAAATGGTTAAAAACAACTAAAATTAATGGAAAAAACAAATGTAAAAGCATTCTAGGTTTACATTGAGAATAAACAACAACAAACTATATGGCAAAGTGATGTATAAGAACCGAAGAAAAATAAATTAAATCAAACCTCAATCTGTCGTTTTGCACACTTTTACACCTGCAAAAGATACAGACCTCAATCGGTCGTTTTCATTTCCGGTTGAAAATCATACATGGCTGGTGAAATACACTTGTAAAAGTAATACGGGTGTATAAATTTACCCCTATTCCAAGCGGGACCTTAGGGTTATTTCATACTCAGAGATCAAACCTAGTTTTTACTGTTCTTTTAGGGAAGTTTTTACTTTTCAGAACCACGAATTCTTTTGTTCGGGAGCTGCCGACCCACATATTCCACTTTGACAAACCCTCTTGCAGCTGAAACTCGAGGGGCATTCCCATCCACGCGTTTCCCATTACAAATGCTATATATCCACGGCGCCACAGTATTCTTCTCAATTTCACCTCACCCAACACCACTACTCTCCTCTCCTATCATAATCTCGCCTACCCCGGCCGGCCCTTTGACTTCCTCTGCCTCCCTTCCTGCATAGAACACCACAAGCTCCCATCGCCGGAGCTTCCTTGCATCGATCGATGAACAAGACCAAGGTGCACCCCAACGTCGCAGCTGCTTCTCCGGCGGTACCAGCGGCGGCGGGGGAGAAGGGAGAGGCGGTGTCGCTCACCGTGTGGCGGCGGTCGCTGCTGTTCAACGGCAAGGGGTTCACGGTGTTCGACACCAACGGCAACCTCGTCTTCCGCGTCGAGACCTACGCCCGCGGCGGCTCGCCCCGCGAGGTCGTCCTCATGGACGCCGAGGGCGTCGCCCTCCTCACCGTCCGCCGCAAGGTATACATCGATCGTTCTTGGCTTGCTCTGTTTCCCGGGCGGGTGTAGGTAGGACTAGGAGTTCTTGGTTTGACTACATAGATCCGGGCCGGTGTTCCTTCTTGATTTGATTTGTTGGGATCTCAAATTTGATGTTGGTTTCGTCGTGTTGGTGGTGCAGAAGCTGAGTCTGGCGGAGGAGTGGCTCGTCTACGACGGCGACGGCGACGAGCCGGCGCCAAGGCGGTTCACGGCGCGGCGGAACAGGAGCCTGCTCCGGACCAAGTCCCTCGCTCGCCTGTCGCCGCCGCGATCGTTGGACGGCACTGGGGATGTGCCTGGCTGCCGGTACGATGTGGAGGGCTCGTACGCCGGCCGCAGCCTCGACATGTTCGCCTGCACTTCCTCCGCCTCCGGCGGCAATCAGCGGCGGCGCGTGGCCTCGGTGTGCCGGAAGGAAGCCGCCGTCGGCCTGGACGTGTTCAGGCTGGTGGTGGAGCCAGACTTGGAGCCGGCGCTGGCCATGGCCGTGGTCATTCTCCTCGATCAGATGAACGCGTCCTGAAGCCTGGACCCATTCCAGGCATAAACCATGCATGCATGCTTGCAGGCTGCTGTGCCAAGGCTGCTGCCGTGTACAGAGTTCCCGAGGATTCCTGAATGAAACAGAAAACAGAAAAAGAGAGGGTAGCTCGGAAGCAATTTGTGGTTGCTTCATTCGTTGCTCAATGCACCCATTTTTTTGCTTCACGTACGGTTCTTTGTTGCCTCCTGAGCCAAAGGAGATGACCGGCCGGCTGAAGCATTTCTACTTAGTGGTGCCATGCATGTTGTGATGTTTTGTATTCAGATCAGAGGATGTAGGGGCTCGAGATCACATTTAGAGGTGTTTTACATCGTCCCATCTTTTTGTTGGTAAATGTTTAGAGGTGTGGGCATATATGAACTCGTAAATGCAACCCTTTTTGTTTCCTTTCCTTTCCTTCAATGGACATTGTGAATAGATCGCTCTGTTTCCTGCCCATGCTGTAAACGGCTCACTAGTTGTATTTTCTGAATTATTGATTGATTTATAAATCTAATACTAGACGGTAGGTGCTTTAAAGTTCATGCGATGCAGGCCAAACAACGAACACAATAAACCAAATTTGCATCTAGCGGGCCAGGCTGAAGCTAGTTCATGCAACCAAAACATGCCCCTAGCAACTGCGTGTGTGAGTGCATCCGGTTCATTCCATCTGCGGATTCTCCTCTTTGTGGCAGTAGTTACCTACTGATAATAAATTAGCTAACTGCTTTGCAATGGAGGCAATACACATTTTTGTGGTTCTCGGATATGCCTTCCACCCTCTATATCTACTGCCTCTCCAATCCAATACTAACACTTATGTGAGTGGCTCATCCAATAAAAATCTCCCCTCCACTGCCACCACACATACTTTAGATTTTAAACCCATAACTGTGTAGTTGATTATATGGAAGATTTCAAGAAGAAGAAAAATCATACGTAAGAGGTCGTCAATATTCATCTAGCCTCTGCACGTCACTAGGACGAAAGGAAAATGTAAAGACATAGGAACCTAATCTTGATATAGCAAAAGCAAAAGTGCAGAAAAAATGAGCTCACAGTGGACCTAAAGATATGGTAGCTAGAAATCGTATTGAAAAGAAAGTGTGCGTCTTGAACAACTCAGGATGAATAACAATATTAAGCAAATCAATTTGCTCGAGTATAGTTTGCCCCCTTTGTTCTTCTGTCTGAAAGTTGTAGATCACCATCTTGTTGGTCGTTCCATCGCCAATATTATCTAGTGAAGGGTGCTGAACCAAGCTTAATCCTGGGCTTAATCTATGGGAGCCACCAAAAATCAGCATGATCTTTGGTATTTGCTTACCCCTTTAGGATGTTTCTCCGCGGGCGCCCCTATATCTCGCTTCTAGCGAGACAAAGGGAACGCTCACGTCAAGGCAGCGTGAGATGGGCTGGCCGAGGTGTGCTAGAGGCCACAACCCTCGTTTTTTGTTCCTGGTTTCTTCACGTTTTATTTATTTTTTACTTTTGTTTACACTTACAAATGTATATAGAAAAAACTGTGTCTACCATAGCTTGTCACATAACTTGTTTAGGCTCGCTAAGCTTTTAACGGTATAAAAGTTATCAAAAAATATAAAGTAAACAGTGGAGCATCTCTCTAATGTAATAAAATGATCCAATGAAGGGATTGTGAAAATATGCATATATGTGTCCTCGGCAAAAAAAAAAGCATTACAGCTCACAGCAGCATAAATATATACAGAACTATTTTTTATTTTTTCTAGGACACATAAAAGTTGTATTTTTTAATCGCTCCGTTGATCATCATATATTATAGGTGTGTTGTTTGAGTATTTTCTTTCAGGATTTTTGAAATATTTTACACCGTTGAAAACCTGAACTGGTTCTATGGCAAGCTATTACAAAAGTATACTTGACATAATGTTTCAAAAAATGTTGATCAAGCATATAAAAATGTTCAATGTGTATAAAAAGAGTTGACCTTGTATACTAAAAATGTATGAAAAAGTCGATCAAGTATTTAAAAATGTTAATAAAGCATTTAAAAAATGTTTAACAAGAATTTTAAAATGTAATCAAGCATTAGAAAAATGTTAAATTTGTAAATAAAAAATGTTGACCATGTACACGAAAAATTTATCAATATATATATAATATATGTGAAAAATTTTGATCACGTGTTCTCAAAATGTTAGTCAACAATTTGAAAAATCTTTTGAGTTTCATCTCCATAAGAGTAGCTGAGTTTTTACGTTGGCTCGCCAAGCCTATCACAATCCTCCTCCTTTATCCGGGATTGGGACCGGCTATGTTGAGAGAACATAGGCAGAGTTTTTTTTAAGAATTTGAAAAACGTTAATCATGTATTAATTTTTTTGTTCTTGCATTTGAAAAAAAAATGATCAAGCATTCAAAAAATGTTAAATGAATATCTAAAAACTGTTGACTATGTATTAGAAAAATGTTAATCTTGTACTTTAATTTTTTAATCAAGCATTTAAAAAATAATGTTAAATGTGCATAGGAAAACTGTTGATCGTGTATTAAAAAAATGTTAATCTTGTATTTAAAAATGTTAATTCAGCATTTGGAAAGGCTAAAAATGTTTATATTGTTTTACCATGTATTAAAAATATTAAACTTATATTTAAAAAATATCAAAAATTTATTAGAAATTAGTTGTTGATGTAAAAAAATGTAGATTGAAAACCAATAGAAACATTAGACATGTGGTGAAGGAAAAAAAATGATAAAAACTGAGAAAGGAACACAAAGAAAACAAGAAACACCAAGAAAAAGAAAAGAAAACCAAAGCATAACCATTAACCAAGTGTCTCACATCCCTGATAAACAAAATGATGCAACCGGACATTACGAAAAAGCAAATTAAAATCATTAGTAATACCTAGCTTGGCGAGTGTTGTCGCACAAGCCCACTTGGTTGCTTTGATATTGCTTCTACTTAGCTTTTGGAATTTCTTCCTCGCTTCACTGTGGGTGAAGGCGATCCCCTGAGTGAAACTTGTTATGGCGGTGCGGCGGATGAACCTGAAGCACCGCGTACGAGAGTGGACCTCCTCGTAAACATCTACAAAAAAAATTCCAGTCCAATACAACTGAACAATATTGACCCTACGGTGGTCCCAACATCATACTCCTCTAAAAACATCAATCAATCCAAGCCATTTGGATAAAAAAAATATGCATCTCCTAGTCATGGCAAGGCTATGCATGTAGAACATGGATTCACAAAAAATAACTTGTGGATCAAAGGAGAAAAATTCCATAGATAGATCACACGGAAGGATTTGAATTAAAACCGAACGCGTAGAGAGATCGGGCGAAGTTTTGCTAGAGTTGGAGAGTTTTGTCTGAAGAAAAAGAAAAGAGAGAGATGGAGGGTGATTTACCTTCTTCCTTACGCTCGTATGAAATGCCATCATTTACCCTGATTGCTTACCTGCGCTTGTGCATACCTCATATGACCGCTGAAACGGGCGGCGGCGCCCATATGGAACGCCATTGAATTCTCTGATTAATTCATTCTCCTGGGCGAGGATGTCATAGGACCGCTCAAACAGGCGGGTGCGCCCATATGGAACGTCGTCAAATTCTCTAGACTTCTTTCTGTTTTGTTTGAAGGTTTCAGACGACCGTTCAAACGACCGCTCAAACGAGCGCTTCCGCTTATTTTGGAATTGTCGTTCACTCTGATGTCTCTAGTTGTTTTGCGGTGGAACCTCCAGCAGGTCATACGACCACTCGCGGCCGCTTGAAAGGGCACTATTATGTTGTTTCTTTTGAAACTTTTATTTTTCTCCGTTTTCCCGTGACATTATTTCCAACACAATACATAGACATATTTCCATGCATCTAAACATTAATACAACATACTCCTTCCGTTCCTAAATATAAGTCTTTATAGAGATTCCACTAGATGGACTACATACGGGGCAAGATGAATGAATCTACACTTAAAATGCATCTATATACATCAGTATATGGTTCATAGTGAAATCTCTACAAAGACTTATATTTAGGAATGGAGGGAGTATAATTTAACTTGCACATCACATAGCCTTCATTAGAACAACTCTTCCAAACTTGTTCCTTCATATTGAACTTCAATCACTCTTTTATTGAAAAGGAAAAAAACTTGTCTACTTTATTCACAAGGGTTGTCTCCCATGATGCGCTTGTTTTCGGTCGGTTAGCTCGACCGTACTAGTGATCAAGGTGGTGCAAACATATCGAGACCGTAGCTTCTGGCATTCACGGTGATACCGAGGTGTAGTAGTGACCTCCACCAGCTACTGTTCAACCAGCCTTCCACGGGTTACTGTTCATCTAGCCCTACACCGGCTACTGTTCGACCAGCCCTCCACGGGGCCCTGTTCATCCATCCTCAACCGGCTCGATCAGGGTCCTGTTCACCCAGTGACAACGACCTCTACTATCACGAGGTCCTGTTCATCCAACCCCCACGGGGAACTATTCATCCAACCCCCAACAACACTCATTGTTCATCCAGAGGCAGCATGTTCGATCGGCTTCAGTTAGCAACAGTAGCGAAGGAATCGCTCGATCGGGTTCAGTTAACAGTCAGGGATCGATCGATCGCTCGGGTTCAGTAACGCGTGCAATCGCTCGGGTTCAGTAGACGAACGCCCCGCTCGGGTTTAGTTAGAGCCCAACGCCTCGCACCCACACGCGTACATGTACGAGAGAAACGCGCAATCCCTCCGTGCATCGCTCGGTCCCGACCATCCATCGTAACCGGGAACTCCCCGATATTTTCCTCGCCCTCGCTTCTACCACGGTTTTTTTCATCATGGACGGCCCAAAAAATGTCATGCAGCTGGGTCCCTGGCCCGCCCAGGAGAAAAAGCCCATTTTCTGTCATATTTTTTTGTCATAGAAGTAGGAGCCCACCAAATCTATGATGATACCGGGTTTTGTCATAATTATCGTCATAGAAGTGTCATAAGCATGACAGAATTTTTTTCGAT